CAAATAATCCGAAAGGATCCCTGTGATTCCAAGGGTTGCACACACACGCCTCCCCGAGGGGAGGCGAGAAGCTAAGGTGAGGGCCAATGTGCACGTGTGCGCGCACAAGAGACAAGAAAATGAAGACATCACAAGAGGACGAGACGGGACAAAGGTGCGTGTGGTGGAAATGAAAGGGGAACCAAGTGCACAGGGACAACCGATGAAGCCCACCTCATTGTAAAGACCTGGGCGACCTAAAACCTGTGTTTACATGGATGTAGAAGTGCACGTACACACTAAGGCCGGGACCAATGTGTGCGCAAACGAAGAAAAGGATGAGATGACCAGACATGAAGACAGGAGGACATGAAAGAAAAGAGGTAACAAAAGTGTGTGAAGGGGAAGGGGGGAAAGGGGAACCAAATGGAGGGGACGAGAACCGATGAAGCCGAACCTCATTAATACGACCTAGGAAAACCTGCCTCGTTTGAATGTATACGCTGTATGTGCACCCAAGGTCTCGACAGGTTCCAATGAACCTTGAACAAACTTCGGTCGCTGCGACCACGTACGGCTTGCCCGAGGGCTGCCACCTCTGACCGCTGCGGTCACGTACAGGCATGGCATGAGCCAACTTGGAATTCCAAAGATGAGACAAAAATCATCGTACGTACGGCCTAGGCCACCTACGCTCGCTGCGAGCTGCTCTGTATCCGGGCAGTGGATACGTTCGACAACCCCCCGTTCAACTGGTCCACGGGAGGCACTCTGCGGGCTCATCCCGGGTTGGCACGAGGCCAAACACACTCATGGATATGCGTACTGACTTGACAGCGGTGCCACACGCCAGCCTAAGAAACCCAAAGCCCAGGAAAGTCCTAAAGAACCTGGGGGTCTGTAAGAGGAAATGGGGCCAAAAGCTCAAGGCGAAAGCGGACCGACAGGGTGACGGCGTGTCGTGCGTGACTGCGGCTGCATTAGCACTTTACCAAAGGTTAAAAATTGTGCAGGTACAAGTGGTTGATCAGACCACTCATCCACCGAAATGCCATAATAGCTTCGTTGGACTGGATAGGCAAATCGGCTCCAGTACCCCTGCTGTAAAATCGAAAGCAAAACCAAACCAAATAATCCGAAAGGATCCCTGTGATTCCAAGGGTTGCACACACACACACACACCTGGACCTGTGTATGTATACACACACTACATATTCAATTAGTAGTCAATTGTTTATATATATATACACACATGTGTATGCTTGATATAGATATATGATATATGATATATGCGTGTGTGTGTGTGTGTGCATGCTTCCCTCCTGGAAATCCAAACCAAGTTCAGGCAATTGACGTGTGCTAAAGTCGAGCCGAATCCAAAAAGTAATTGTGGCCCAAATTTGCAGTTATATTCACGTATTTCAGCATTGCACCAGAGTCACCAGACATTTGAGCTGTTTGCCCAGGGTCTCAGATTTCCCCCACACCGAGTCACAAGTTTAACGCAAGGACCTTGCGCCCGGAGAACGTGGCTCAGGGGCGCCTTGGCGAGCAGAGACCGGGTGAAGAGTATAGAGTGTAGAGTTTGAAACGCTATTAGTAATTGTTACTGTCACAGGCTAAAGTGAGAGAGTGTGTGTTTCATGTTTTGTGCAATAAGTTTGGTATTTTTGCTTTACTGATAGCTCTTTGAAGCTAACTTTAGGCTCACCATCATGTGACTTAAGCTGACTGCTAGTGGATGGAAACAATTTCCTGTGGAGCTCATGACTACAACATGCATGGTATAAGCCTGTCCAAACCCATCCAAAAAGGACCACGGACCACCCTCCCCGGTAGTGGGACCCTTTATATCGCGCGCCACAGACTGAGAGGAAATTCGCCCCAGAGCCTCTGAGCCTCACCGTTTGAGGAAACTGGGCGACTGCTGGTTACTCACTGCTTTGAGCTCACTGGCGGCACATCCTGCGAAGCTGAAGAGCTTGTTTGACACCAAGCACTTGACTGCGGATGGAAAGTATGGCATTTGGCTCTTTGACCTCAGCACGAAGATGCTCGGAGTGCATCCGCCTTTTGTCTCATGATAAGAGTTTGCCCTTAAAACAAACAACAAACCCAAACTGTGGCCCATGGCTTGTTTCAAGCAAGGTCACAGTTCCCGAAACGGCCCACAGGGCAGCCACAGACGATTTTGAGGTTTTCTCAGTTTGAATCTCCACATGTCACTCGTGGCTAAAACCTATTTTACAACCAACCCTGGAGAAACAAAATAAGGATAAGCAAGGCCATTGCGCCCGAGCATCCTTGGTTTGGGACATACACATATACACTCTTTACTGCTGAGCTCGGCCGCTGGGAAGTTGTTAAATATACGGTCGAACTCTGTTCGCATCCTTCCCAGAACTTTGTCCGCGGTGGGTTCGAGGACGTGGGCGAAAGTGGTGGTGGACGAGTTCATCCCCTGCCACTGGGCTCCGTATTAGCTTTGAAGGAGTCAACATGAAAGGGAACTTGTTTCTGCTATTGGCTCTAAAACCGCGCGGGTAGTGGTTTGGGTTTGGTTGGGGCCTATTCTCTGATCTTACGTTGGCCAGGGGGTTGGGTTTGGGTTCGGGTGGGCCTAGTAACGTTCTTTTGAGTGCACTTTCTACACTTACGCTACGCTTGGTCTCTTCTGTGTCTCTGATCTGACGTTGGTCAGGTTTTCGGTTTGGGTTCGGGTGGGGCCTATTAACGTTCTTGTGAATGCACTTTCTGCTTTTAAGTTGGGCAGTGGGCACACAGTTGAACCAGAGGTGACGCAAGGGGTCGCGCGCAAAAAATGGTCCGAAACCCTGTGTCTTCGCAAATCGATGTCAAACATGGTCACCATTTTTGACAGTGATTTTCAGATAGTTCTTGATCAGACAACAACAAAATCGTGATTTCGCCTAGGCGAAAAAACCCTTTTCTTACATGCAACCCAATATCCTGGATCTTGAAATTTGCACGACTACGTGCGCGGAAAGAGAGCCGCCGGGTTGTTTCTGCATGCTTGGTTGCTGGCTACAGCAGCTGTAGGCGGAATGATCATAGTTTGGGTTGACAACATTAAGAAACTCTTTTGCACATTTCAGGGACAAACTACAAGCTTAGATTCCTCCGGGAACCTTCCTATCCAGATTCTCTTATAAGGCGACGTGCTCTTCGGCGAGCCTCGGCCCACCTTCGCGCAAGCCACCGGCATCTTGGTCGAGAACGCGCTCCGCAGCGCGCGCTGTGCTGCGAAAGGTTCGTGTTTGGGAGGCTTGTTTGCCACAGATGGGAAGGGGGCATCTCATATTGAGTTCAAACAACGTGGCTGCATCAGGATGAATCATGTAAAGAGTATTTCAAAGGTTTTGTTGGTAGTTTTTGTTTTGTTTTCTTTTTTTGCCAAGAGTTTGGCAAGTACCACAAGGGATCCAGCCCCAAATGCAAATTATCAACAGAAACCATCTTGAAACCGCAGAAGATGAACAGATTCGCCAGTTCTGAGTTCTGAAAGGCTAGCTTTCTAGTAGGAAAGGGGCCGACATGCTGTAGATGGCACAGCCAAACCAACTCATCTCCTTGTTGCCCAGGTGAAGAGCTTTGGGTGTTGCTGCTGGAGATTCTGGGGCTCGAAATTGAGATTTCCACGGCTGCTTCGCCGAATCGCCGTCCCCACGGTGTGCCCTGATGGCCTAAGAGATGGACCCCCTGATGCCCCCGGGTTCTCAGATTATCTAAGATTTTTTTCAGTTGCCGCAAATTTGCTCACCGTTCTCAGGAAGGCGATGGCCAAGTGGTGTGGCTCCTATGGCGCACTGGACGGGGGTCAGGACACTTGGGCCTTCATGGCATCTCGACCAGCATGTTGGCTTCTGTGGCTGGCTGGGGCCTGATTATATATATATAGAATTCATCCAGTCCCGCAATTGTTGGTTGGACAGGTGAGCGTCCACACATGTTGGTTGGGCAGGTGAGAACTCATGATGAGTCAGAGCTACATGAGAGAGTCAGAGCTGGCCTTTGATGAGTCATTTGAGGTCTTGACGGGGCAGTCGGAGGTGGAATGCCTCAGGAAGAGGAAGGAGAAGCTTGGAGTTGAAGTGAGTGATCCACTGGCGAAAGCATAGGAAAGCCAGGGGGTCGCTTGGTGGAGAGGGGCTTCACAGTTCAGAGTTGATTCCTTTGCATGGTGGTTTGCTGCAGTTGTGGTGCTGTTTGAATGGCGGTGTTTGTATGGATCCCCTTCTCAAGTGGTTCGGTCAGGCTCCAATTTACAAGAATCTATATACTCAGGAACTGTCAGTTCAGCAAATTTCCCAAGATCAGCACCTTGATCAGCCTGACCGTTTGTGTAGCTGAAGGTGCGTGTGTGTGTGTGTCCACCCCTGGACAAAGGGCTCTCTACCACCACCTCGTTTCCACCCAACCTCAGCAGGGGAACTGGGCACTCTGTGACTGACCCAGTTCAACGAAGCTAGGTCACAGAGTGGGATATTCGGACTGATCATCCGAACGTACCTGCGAAGTTCTTCACACGCTGTCACCCCACTTCTCCACGGTTTGTTTCATGGTTCTTCATGATACCTCCCACAAACCCACCGCCACCTTGCGCCGCTTTGCAGCCGACTTTGAGTGTCAGATCGTTTTCGAGTGCAGCTGCCAACATTGTTCAACAATACGGTTTCTGCGGACTCATGCACCTTTCCGTTCCTTCACCTTCCTTCTCAACGTGGGAACTGAGTTCATTGAAAACCAATGTCAGAGTGTGTTTCGCTCAGCCGTCCCACTCGGGTGCTGAGTGTGATCCCCGTCACAGGGGCGCTGTTTTTGCATAGGAAATCACCCACCCCAACTTGCCACCTGTCACTGAGTTTCCACTGGAAGTCATTGACACATCCATAGAATCAACTGATGCATTGGCCGCCGGGCCCAAAAACGGCAGCTTTTCCTCCACTGTATTCTGTAGTGTCTTGCAAGGGTTTTGCATGATTTTGCATGTAGTGGCTTTTTGACGTGTGACATGACTTTTCCGCCAGAGGAACTCAAGCCCGCATACCGGAGTTCTCAAATCTAATTCGAGATGCATGACCACACCCTACAACACTTCTACATTATACACCAAGTTCACCTTCACAACCTACATACCTCTAACAAGAGCAGTGCGATTTTCAACACCACTATGACAGACCACAACTTTTGCAATCTCAGCCGCGCTGCTGCTGCTGCGCCGTGCCATTCAGACGCCTCTACTATACAGCGCTGAAGTTTTCCAACCAATACCTTCGACAATATCATGCAATTTCCCTGACCATATTCCCATGCCACTCCACCGCCACTACCCATTACACAACCACAGCCGACATTGCCGCTGCCACAGCCACATACTGCACCAGCCTTTCCGTCACCACATCCCCCGACATACCCTTTTCCACAACCTCGAGCCTATCCAGCTCCACCTACCATGACTATTCCAACTCCAACCACACTGTCCTATGGCACTCCCTCTGCCTGGACACTTGTGCAACCATCTCAGCCGCTACCACAACCCACACAACCACCACCCACTTTTCCGTCACCAGCACCTCCCCCTTCTTACCTAGTACAACAACTGCATCACACACCACCCACCGATTCTACCAACAACACACCGATCCAGTCGCCTCCAGCACCTCAACATGCACCTACGGCTCATCATCCCCCCACAGAACCGCAGTGGCTCATGCCCCAGGGGGTTTGGCAACCTTACTCAGCCTTTCCCCCAGTCACACAACCTTCAGCTCAACCTTTGCCTCCACCGCCGCCTCCACTGGCTATCGGCGACTCACCACAAGTTCAGCCCCCACCAGCAGGCTCCGAGTCCAAAGTTACATTGGTCTTGGGCTGTGAGAT